TTGAGGAGAATTGAAGTCAGTTTGAGGACACAGTTGTGTCTGCTTCAGGCCATGGTCTTTTGGATCACTTACTATGCACCTGAAAGGAATCAACAGAGATGACAGAAGAATGTTTGATGCCTTTGAGTTGTGTTGGAGAAGAGCAGTGAACATCCCATGGACAGCCAAAAGAACAAATACATATGTCTTGAAGAGGGTGCAGCAGGTGTGCTCTTTGGAGGCGAGGATGATGAGGCTTCGGCTCAGACACTACGGGTATGTTGCTAGAACGGGCTATTCCTTGGAGAGGGACATGATGCTTGGAAGGGTGGAGGGTTGCAAAGTAGAGGTAGGTCCACAACCAGGTAGACTGATAGAGTGACTGCCAAAATGGACTCCAGTATGTCAGGAAGTGTGAAGATCGCACAGGATAGGATGGAGTTCAGATGCCGCTGTTCTTAGTGTCACTATGAGTCATACTCGACTCGACGGCACCTAACAACAACATCCAACAAGTCGGCAAACATCTACAAATAAGATGGAGATTGGATTTAGCATGTAGAACCCAATCTTCAGAGAAAGTAGAAAAAAGTAACCACATTTTAAAGAACCAAATACAAAGCTCTGTCTAGAAAAACTAGACTCAACCAAGCTTCTAAGAAGGCATTCACCCACCTCTTTCCAGACAGTCTCCCCAAGCTAAAAACCTCAGAAGCAATTTTGTGATCAAGTCTGAAAATATTTTTCAATCCTCCCACCCAGCAAAGCCTGAAGTAGTTAGTGTGAGATGTGTGGATACAAAGACTACAAATGTCACCATTGATGTTGGCTCTCCGTGTTGATCTGAAGGGAGAAGAAGCTGGCACCCAGTGGTCCCCTTTCTTCACAACCACCCAGAAGGTCACCTGAAAGGCAGAGCAGGGAGACCATTCCTGGCAACTAGGTGTCATACTTTAATGTGGATGAATTTAAGTTGCTGGAAAAAAGCTGTGGCTACAAAGGGATCTCAGGAGTCGGGCTCCATTAGTTGCTTATGACAAACGGACAGGAGCCAAAGCTCATCATTCCCGTCCATTCAAGGAAAGGGTGTGAACTTACAGGTAATTAAGATAATGCTGTTCGCTTGGAGAAGGACGGCTAGAGAAGAAAGTAGGCTGGCCTGTGGTTACACATCACCTCTGCTGGGGACACAGTGGCTTTGCTTGGGCATCTTAATTGCTGCATGTGTGAAGCGCAATTATTATGATGGTACTTTCGCAAATTAGAATAAGTGATGTATTTTAGTTTCCAGAAGAACCTGTGTACATCTAAGAAGCTGATTGGTAGAAGGGTGGCTTGAGCTGAAGGGAAAACTCCAGGGGCGCAATTCCGATGGTTACCTCCCATCACCAGCCTCCAGGTGAGCACAGCAGAGTTCTTTGGACTGTGGCCTGACCTCTCGATTCTCCCAGGTATCTTTCTCACTGTGAGCCCCACTCCTTTCTCATACATCATGCAGCTGCATGGAGTTGCGTGTAGAGAAGCCTGGGGTACAACAGCACACAACAGAGAGCCCGAAGATCAGCTCGGGATGGATGAACACAAAAGCCTCAGCTTTTTCCAAGTGAACTCCGACTCCAGCCTGGCTAAGCTTAGGGCAAACAAGGGCCTTTCTGACTGAGTTTGTGGGGCAATCTGGGCTTAGATCAGAGCTGCTTCCCCAGCAATCACTTGATGTATAAGCACGTTATTCCTGTTTCTGGAACCAGCCGGTGCTTGGACTGGGTTCCAGGTTCTCTAACACTAGTCCCCTGATTCCTGTAATCCCATTTTACCTCCTCTCGGGTCCTGGTGTTTTATTTCTCCCTCTTGATACCCTTTCACTTTCACCCCCTAAGTGATACCACCTTCCTTGGCCTTTAGGTCTGACCCTAAGAGGCTGGTGGTGAGTAGCTAAGGGGTCATCAGTGTGAACCCATCTGCATGGCAATCCTGTGGGGCTTCTCCTCTATTCTGCAGGCTTGCTGTGAGTCAGAATCGTCGCCACAGTGGGTTTGGCTTTGACTGGGTTTGTCTCCTACTTAAAAAACCCTGTGTCTTCTGCATGGTGCCACTGTTGTAAAACAGGACTGACCTCGGGGTTGGAGGGGACTGAGAAAGATGGGTTCAATAATGCATACTGCATTGAAACTGATGAGGGAGAAAACTGTTTAAAAGAAATATGTGATTAGGTATTTTTGTCATGGCAGGAGTCCAGAGCAAAGGCTACATGGTAGAGTGGACCTGGGGGAGGGTTTGTAAAACAATAAAAGAATTTTTCTTTTGCTTTTACAAGAGGTAGTGTACTGGGGGGAAGGTTTGGGAGGGGAGAAAAATGCAACAATGAATGAATGGAAATCCAAAGTCTCTGTAAATTTTCATTGAAATTAATAATAAACTAAAAAAAAGGAAAAAAAAAGAAAAATAGCTCTCTTGTGATCAGATGTTGCCCTTAGCCCTGTTCCAAATTCAAGTGGCTCACCAGAAGTGGTTTTACATTGAGCTCATATGAGATTATGTGTGATAATCTTTCTAGACAGCTTCTACCTGATCTCAACCAGGGTTTGAAGGTGTGGCCACAAGCACAACATCAGGCGCTTTCTGTTATTCATAAATTTGCTCTTCCCAGGTTTGCTTCCTTCCTTACAGGTGGTGATTATTCACCATTGCAAGAACATGAAATAGCCCAAATGTCCAACCATGAAAAATGGATTGAGAAATTGTGGTATATTCACATGTTGAAATACTGTGCAGCATGCAAGAGCAACGATTTTTTTTAATCTTATTATATAATTTGGAAAGGACTGGAGAGCATTATGCTAAGTGAACTAACTCTGTCCCATAAGGACAAATACTGTATAAGACCAAGTTTATTGTAGAAATAGAAAGATAACTAGTAAAATGGTATGATGATCCTAGGAAGAGAGGGTAGGAGCAAAGGGAAGAGGATAGGCAGGGAGGGAATCACGGGGTGGCACACTTTGATGGGTAGAAAGAGGGATAGGTAAAGGAAATCGAAAAAGATCCAGTGTGAAAAAAAGTATGTGTATGAATTTTATAAGCAAACCAGTATAAATTAAAAATTCATTTAAAAGAAAAAAAGTTGATAGGAAACTCAGGCCTAGTGTGAAAATTGACTTACTATTAGAGTTACAAACTAAATTGTCAGTTTGTTGTGTTTGGGTAGAAGATTGTTCTATTTGGTACAGCACTTGTCTGTCAGTTTGCTATTGAGATAACTCGTAGATTACTGTGATCCTGTAAACTATGCACAGGTGTGTCAAATGCAGCAAAGATTACCCATGGTGAACAGGTCTTAGTAAAGGTCCCAGATTAAGACAAACTAGGAAGCAGGATTGGCTAGCCACTTCTTAAATAACAGACCTCTGAGAACAAGTCAGCAGGTGCCTACAAATAAGATGCATATTTTACTCAGTGTGGAGATTCCAATCTTTGAGAAAATTAGCAAAGATAAACCACGCTGAAAAAAATGGTGAAGCTCTGACAAGAAACATATGTCCATTGGGATCAGGCGTTATCCTTAGCTCTGTTCTAAATTTGGGTAGCCTCCAGAAGTGAACTTAAACTGAGCCCTTTTAAGATTATATTTGGGAAACCAGCTTCCCTCAGGCAACTTCCCTCAATCTCCTTCATGACCTCAACCAGGATTAGAAGGTGCAATGGTATTCAGTGCCTCCATCAAGCACTTTCTATTATTAGTAAATTTATTCTTCACAGGTTCGCTTCCTTCCTTACAGGTGACCTGTACTCCTTCTAGTCTGGAAATCATGTCCTGTTCAAGATATGTGGAGACAGAACCGACTTTCAGTTAGAAGATAAATGGACACGTCCTTGGAAAGTTCTACCACCCACCCTCATTGCTCATTCATTATGGATTCCCCCCCCCCTCCTGTGTCGAAAGGTTTTGCTTAAATGATTAACATTGGTTGAAAGGTCCAAATATTTCTAATTCAGAAATTAACATTTGTTTGAAGGAATAAAAGAACTCAAACCACGTGAAGGTGATGTAATCATGTAAGGCAATTCTGGAAAGAGATCTCAGTACCTTCCAGATCTGTCAATAAATTATACGGTGATTTGTACCTTGTCTAATTGTCTGTAGTGGCTGGTAGCCAATTGGTTTGTTCCATTTTAGTTGTGTGGATTATTAATAGAGATATTGAACATTTTTGTCATTCTACCAGGTTTGAGTTGAGCAGATTAAGAGTTAGAAAACAGGAATCATACTACCATCAAGAAAGAGAACATAAAGAGTTGGTTTGTTCCATTTTAGTTGTGTGGATTATTAATAGAGATATTGAACATTTTTGTCATTCTACCAGGTTTGAGTTGAGCAGATTAAGAGTTAGAAAACAGGAATCATACTACCATCAAGAAAGAGAACATAAAGAGTGCAGTGCATGGTTTCAGGTCAGGGATGCATCCATGAAACTGAGACACAGACTAAACCGACAGCAACAATAGGAGCAGCAAAGATGGCATAAAAACAGAGACCTATGTCAAACAGTGGTGAACTAGGACTGCTCCCCTCCCCACCCCATGAAGCCATCCTTTCACAGAGCCCAGCTTCTCTCTCCACCGCTACTGAGCTCTATTCACCCTTTGAGACAAGAGCTCAGCCCATTTGAAGCCAGCAGTCGGCTACAGAGGAAGAAGGGCAGGTTTTGGTGTGACACAGCCTGAATTCCAGTGCTGGATCTGCCATGTAACTCTCCAAACTCCTTTCTTCTTCTTTAAAGTGAGGATAGCAGTATTGTCCTTTTGGGGACTTGAATGTTGGACCAAGATACAGTTGTTAAGTGTTTAGCTGAGCTCTCAGTGCTTTAGAGAGAAATGATTGCACCTCTTTCCTCTAGCTGGATCTTTGGAGCAAAGAAAGACAACTAATATATAAGGATCAGATTTTATTCAGGAAGAGCTTGGGAGAGGTGATGGTTCCTGGGGTTATCAGTCTTCTGACTTCTTAGGGTCCTTATGGGACATTAGAAACCAATGACTATGGGCATCTGAGCATCCTCAGAGTCACCTGTAGGAGGCTCAGGGACAGCCTCTGAGTCATCCTCTGGGGGCAAGGGGGCCACCTCAGAGTCATCAGTGGGAGGCACAGGGGAAGCCTCCCCAGTGGTCACTGTGGGCAGCGCCTGGTAGATCAGAGCCCAGTACTGCAGGTAGTTGGACCTAAGATGCTGCTTCATGGAGTTGCTATCAATCTTATTGTTGATCTCCAGGTAGTTGTCATTTTCCAGGGTGTAGGGATCCCAGTGTGCAGGGACAGCTGAGTGGCCCACATTTGGATCCCTGTGAAGTGAGAGAAGACAGAATGGGGGCATTAGGTTCACAGGAGGTTGGATACCTACACCCTAACCCTGCTCTGCTCTCCTACATGCCTGCACCATCCTCCCTTGCTTCAGGCTAGATCCTGACAGCAATGCCACACTGTGAACTGGCCACTGGCCTGAGCACTCTGAAGGCCTGGTTCAGAGCAGAATACATGCAGGTAGCTTTTGTCTTCCATGGCAGATGGATTTACACCTGGTTTTACAGACTTTATGTGAGTTAGTCAAAGTTGGTAAGTGACTGTGCAGAGACCCCAGGTGTCAGTGTACCTAGGTCCACTTGGGGTGGTACAAGATATTCACATGTCTGCTATCTCTGTGCCTGGGCTCAACCCCAAACCTTACCCGGTCCTAGCAAAATTGGTCCAGTAGGCGATCATGGCCTTGGAGACAGTCTTGTCTTGAGGCCGGTATCCCAGAAGAGTGGCAAAAGGCTTCCCAAACACATACTGGAGGTCATCTGCGTGGTCAGCCCCCATCCACTTAGGGTAGATAGGCATCCGAGAGGGGTGAGAGAACAGGTAGGTGTAGGTCTTGGCGCTCCTGTGGATGAGTGAGAGAAGCCACTCAGGTTGGTGAGATGCTCCCCTGAGCTGTCCAACCCAGAGACAGGCCAAGGGGATCTGTGGATGAGGTGGGGGTGGGGGACATGCATGAGAGATTTGGAGAAATTCCCACCAAAACTAAGATTGTTATCCCTGGGAAGCGGCAGCTGTAGGCTAGACTCATGGGTTCATCTTTTTAACTATATTTATCCCTCAGTTTTACATGAAGGTTTTAAATGAAAGTAGTTCTTCCAGTAACTGAGTACCAAGAAAGACTGATCCACTCTAGACTAGTCTTCATTTTATTGGACAAGGTATCTGCCCTCACTCGTTTCCCTCTGGCCTTGACTGCAGAAAGCCCAGAGTTAAATTTACTGCTCAGGAGCTGCAAAACTTAGCTTACACACCCAAGTTTGATTACATCCTCCTAAGGTTAAACCCTCAGATGTTAACAGAGAGGGTGGTGAGCTGAGTCTGCCCAGAGGTGTCTTAGAAGAAAAGCCTGGTGATGTATTTTGGAAAATTGGCCACTGAAAATACAATGGAGCACTGTTGTACCCTGACACACATGGAGCCAGAGTCAGAGACGAATCAATGGCAACTGGTTCTTAGAACTTTTAATGTGGTCAACAGAAGCCCTAGTGGCTCCGTGTGTAAGTTCTAGACTGTTAAGTGAAAGGTCAGTAATTTGAACTTGCTAACTGCTTCGTGGGAGAAATTAGAACCCACAGGTTTCAACCACCATCAAATTCACAACGGAGAAACCCAGTGAGGCTGTTGTACTCTGCCACGTAGGCTCGTTATGAGGAGGCTTTGACTTGCAAGTGCACAGCCACATGCCCTTATGCTTGAGTCATTTTGAAAGTGGGCAATATTGAAGACTTGCTGAACAAAAACCATTATCCAATGTGCTCTTCATCTACACAGTTTAAGAGGCTTCACTCCCCAGAGAGAAGGAAGGACAGTCTTGATGATTCCCCAGTGAGAAGGATTGGATAAGGTAGAGGGCCGTGGAAGGATTCTGTAAGCTGAGAAGGGAAGAGAGGCTATATGGGGACTTGTGAGGCCTGGGCAAAAGAGATGGGACAGGGAAACCAGGACCCAGGTAGGGCTTCCCTGTGCGTCTTGACACCTGTGGGAGCCACTCACTGGTGAAACTTTGGCAGCAAGGTGAGATATCCCAGGTGAGTCTCCCTAGAAAGGTGTTCTCCCCAGCCCATGTCCTTACTTGGCATGGGCTCTGTGCTGAGCCACCGCCATTTTGGTCGGCATCAGGAAGAGGACATCGGTCTCAAAGTCCACCACGGTCTTCTTTTTCACTTCCTGGGATGAGTCCTTAGTCCAGGACTCAGTGTAAGCGTCGAAGGTGGCTTTGGCACCTGTGAGGCCCTTGATGAGGGTGAGCCCGCTGACCAGCTTGTAGAAGTCCTCACTACAGGAAACAAAGTAGGCTCTGGACGTTCTACCCAGCCCCAACAGGGGGAGTCTGCCCCCCCACTCAGGGGAGAGCCCTGGACACTCCCACCCCCAGCATTCTGTTAACTCCCTCACTCCCCACCCCTTTGCTGGTGCCTGCCCCCTGGGCGACCCCTGTCCCAGGCTGACTCCTCCCCAGCAGCCTTCAGCACCCTCCTGGCTCCTGTGACTCTCACTTACTCTGTCACAGCCTTGTTAGTCTTGTCAACCGCTGGTATGTCAATGGTGGTGAATAAATGACCGTCCATGTCGTTGGTGCCTGCGAGGTAGTCGATGTCGGCGGCGTTGGCGTACAGGTTCATGGGGTCATCAGGAATGAAGTCTCCATCCACGACTGGGATGAAGGCCAAGTAATGCAATACGGGATCTAGATGGGAAAGCCAACACATTCTAGTACCTTCCAGTGCTCCTCTGACCTTTCTCTCTACTCTGAAGGTGGAACCAACCACATGAAGGTGTTCGAGAGGAGAGTCTCTCAGTTTAGGTCCTGTCAACATTTCAAGTCAGCAAATTCTCTGTTGTGAGGGGCTGACCTATGTATTGAAAGTTGTTAGTAGGATCCCTGGATACCAATAGGACACAGTGTTGACAAAATGTCTCAAGATATTCCTGCTCTTCTCTCTCTCTCTCCCCCACCCCTTACAGAGACCCCATCTGGGAGAAGGAAATCTAGAAACAGATGAAGGGGCTAATGAGGAAAGGCACCCCTTTCCTAGAACCCCTTTCCTCTCGTCTATTAGCCAACATTTCTGAGTGGCCCACAATGCCCTGCTACACCCCTGATCAAGCTCTTAACGAGTCACATGCAGCAAGTGAATGCACAAACTTCACTAGGAGCAGCCCAGGACAGTCGCAGGGATGAGGCAGTGCATCATTCCTTCAGCCAAACTCCAAACGACCTTGAGAGTTGACTTTGTATTTGCTAAGCAATTAATTTTCCTTAATACAAATTATGTGGTGGGCTTCATTTTACTTCACCTGAGCAGAATGAGCTGGATAAAATTCTAACCCATCAAGCAAATGATCTGTCCTAATGGTTCTCTCACACCTTCTCAGATATAGAACATTAGGGATAAATGGTCAAGGTCTATAATAGTAGGTGCTCCATAAGTGTCTGGTGAGTGAATGAAGGGTCACCTAGTACAAATTTCTTCACTTAAGATCCGTGGATTCCCAGGTGGGCTTTAGGGATCCATGAGTTGCCCTAAAAAAAAATTGTGGATAAATAATTGCTTATATGGGCTTATTCCTGGGAGTGTACCTCAAATGTTTATCAGCTTCTCCCAGGGGTCCATGGCTCATGGACAATAAGAAGGAAGAATGGTCCTCTCTGACACTGACACCTGGGACCACTGAGGCTGGGAAAGGAGCAAGGTTCACTGCAGGTTGAAGAAATGTTTAAATCCCAGCAAAGACATATTGCTCTCCTATCCAGGTGCAAGTCCCTACCCTACAGGGAGGAACCTCCTGGACCGAGAACTCCCATGCCCCGACATCAGGCCTGCCTACTCACACTCCATGGCAACCACTGGCAGCTTGTAGGACAGAGTCAGAGCCCGAGGGTCGGTGACCTTCAGACACTTGGCCATCTTAGAGGTGTCATCCAAAGGGCAGCCCACCTTCTTGGCGATCTGTGGTGGGTAAGAAGTAGTAAACAGTTAAGTGAAGCCAATGTTCAGGACAGAGATGATTTAAAAATGCGGAAGACCCTCCCTGGGCATCTAAACTACCCCCACCCATGCCCGCTCCTGCCTTCCACTTACTATTTTGGCCCAGAGGAGTGGGTTCTTCTGGATGGCCCAGGGGCTCAGTGCCACACCACTCTGGCTGATGGCTCGCCGGATCAATCCCTTGTTGTAGGGAGAGAGGGTCTGCAACACACAGAGGTCCTGTCACCAAGGCCTCGCCCACCCTGCTCCAGCCCAGGCTCAGCCCAAGACTCTCAGTGTGTCAGCTCCAGCCTCCTCTTCCCCTCCTGTCTGTCCCACACCCATTAGCTTCCTCTCAAACCCTTTGGAACAGATCCTTCACTCTAGGGACCCAGACCTGCAGAGAGACACTGGCACCTCCAGCTGATTCCCCAAAGATGGTGATGTTGTCGGGGTCTCCCCCAAAGGCTGCAATGTTTCTCTTCACCCAAGAGATGGCCATGTGCTGGTCCCGAAGGCCATAGTTACCTAGAATGGGACGGGGGCAGGGTATTCACTGAGAAACCTTAGCAGGAAGATGGGAGAGCTAAAGATGAGAGCTCAGGAGCTGGTACATAAAGGGTGCACGCTGAATGTGAGTTAGACTAACATGACTTCAAGTGGAATGGCAATTGGTAGGCACAAGGAGTCTTGGCCTAGCTCAGGTGGAGAGAGATCTAAGGACTTGGGATGGGAAGGGAGCAGGCAGCCTCTTCCCCACTTGTCTCTCTCTCCTCCTTGCCATGGTCCCTCTTTTGTCCATCTGTCCTCCTGGTGTCTGTATGTCTGTGTCTCAGTCTAAGTGTGTTGCTTTCTGTCTCTATTTCACTGGCCTTTGCTATTGCTGCCTCCCTTAGTCTCTGTCTATCAGTCTCTAACTGAGTCTCATGATTCAATCCCAACTTCCAGCTCTGCAAAAAGGATTCTAGATCTTTCCATAGAGCTACCAGAGATGACTGGGAAGAAGAGCACTGAGTTCCTGCTGGCTTCAGAGTTTATGTTGGAGGGAGGGGAGTGCATTCTCTACCCCCATAATCAGGGCCTTCTGGTGCTGGACAAACCTGGCAGGTTGGGGTCCCCAGTGCTGAGGAAACCAAGGGGGCCCACACGGTAGTTGAAGGTGACTACGATGACATTGCCCCGTGTGGCAATCTCCTCCCCGTCATACAGGTAGTTGTTGAGGAAGTTGGCTCCTTGTCCAGACCCCATGAGGAAGGCGCCACCATAGATCCAGATCATGACAGGCAGGTCCCGGGAGACTGGAGCAGGGACGAGAAGGCCCAGTGACCCTCAGACACCTGACCCATCTCAGTCTTGGGCTAATCCCCACTTCCATGCAGAGGGTTTACTTAAATGGAATCCAAGACCAGTATTGAGAGCCCCTTTCTCTCACACACCCATTCACACACAGACACTCACTCACTCACATATCACAGTGATTTCAGGAAATATCTGTCTTAGAGTTCAAAGGCACAAACAGTGGAGTTTAGCCTCGGATTTTATATATCTTGGTGTCTTCTGCAAGAATAAGGAAACTCAAGGGGACTCAGAGGAGGACTCACTTTCCTTCTTGCCCTGGGGGACCCAGATGTTGAGGTACAGGCAGTCCTCTGACCCGTAAGTGTTGTCCTGGGTGATGGTGGCCTGCAGGCACCGTTTCTTGTATTCTTTGGCCTTCAGTGTCCCTGCAAGCAGAACCATATGTGGGAACTGGCAGGTACGGCATGTGCCCCACTTGAGTAGGGTCTCAATGAACAATTTCTTGTTAGTCCTATCCAGTGTTGACTGGGAGAGACTGGTCAGCAGTTAGAAACGAATTGTCCCAGGCACCCTGAGGTGGCAGGAGGAGCCAGAATGAGGGTGATCAAGACACACTAGTCATAAGACCCCACCAAGCACCCATCAACTCTCACCTTGCCAGCCAGGGTGTCTCTGGGGGTTCTCCAAGGCCTTGGGGACAGCAGCAAAGGGGATGCCCTTGAAGATGTCGACATAGTTGCCAAAGAGGCCAAGCTTCTTGTTGACGCCTTCCACAAAGCCACCTTCTGTGTACACTGCACCCAACTGTGAGGGAGACACGGGTAGGCCAGGTGAGCTCAGGCTCATCTGGTGGAATGAACTGAATGTTTTACACCCCTGTGCAGCCAGAATGCATCTTACAGGCAAGGATGGTGAAGCTTCATCTCACATACTGTGGACATCTAAGAACCACTCTGCTGCAGGACAGCTCATGGCCTGGAAGTCTGGTCCTTACAGCCCTACTGTTCCCTTCTGGAAAGATCCCACACTGCATCCAAGACCTGCTCCTGAGCACCCACCCCCACCTGGGCTGCTTTCTTCTGGGTCCTTCATTGCACAGGGTTCCAGAAGACTGCTTGGCTCTGGCCAAAGCCTAGTGGAGGGGCCTGGGACTCAGGCTTGCCTGATAGAAGTCCTTAATCTACGACGTGGCGCTGACCACACAATCATGTCATCTCCCCCCTCCCACGTTCTGCCTCCCCAGGCATCCATGGGAGCAGCTGTGGCAGAGCAAATCCAGACCCAGTTTCTAGAGTAGCTGCCCTGCACACCAGGCACGACTGGGCCCCCCAGGTCCTCTGAAGTCTAGGCTAATAGGCGCCCTCTGCCATACAGGGAAGGAGGGAGTAGGACCGACTGGAACTGGAGAGAAGAAAAAACCAGAAGCAACGGCAGCTAGGCTGCCACAACGGAGGAGAGAGCAGGGTTCCTAGTTACATATCTGTGGGTCTTTTTCCTGACCCATTTGGATCCTGAGGGCCAAGTCAGGGCATGGGACTAGAAAATCACTTCCCAGAAGTCTCCCTGAGGGCCCCAGCGTACAGAGGTGACAGGAGGATGTGGAGGAGTGGCGTCAGAGCTAAACTGCTGCAGCAGAGGTAAGGAAATCTCATTCCTTTTGCAGTCTCTCCAAAGGGAAAACCACCCCATGACAGATATGACCTATCCAGTGCTGTCCAGCTTAGAAAGAAGGCAAAGGGGCTGGTCCCAGGACCACAAGGATGTTGAGAACAGGGCCTGCTGTGTAGAAGGGTGCCTTGGGCCAGAGCAACAGGGGTAAGGCATGGAGAGACAGCCTCTTACTCTCAAAGATGAGCAAAGAGGCTCTTCCTAGGATCCCTGCCTTTCCTGGAGCTCAGATTCCCCATAGGAGCTCCAGTGGTGTAATCCCTAGTAAGCTGCCAGTTGAGCTGCTAACCAAAAGGTTATGATTCTCTGGGGTTTGGGTTCCACCAACACCTTGAGAGAAAGATGTGCCGTTTCCTCCTACTTCAATTTGCAGCCCTGGTAACCCATTGGAGTGTCAACTATGAGTCAGATTCTACTTCACTCTTTTAACAAGTGAGTTAGAGAAATTCCTCGTACAAAGGTGGCAGAGGCTGAAATGGGGGCACACAAACTGGGGTCCACAGTCGGCTTGAGTCTTGGCTCTGTTCCTCACACTTATACTAGAGGACAGCTACTTAACTTACTGGTATCAAACTGGAATTGACTGAGGTTTTTAAAGACTATAAATCACATGGAAAGAGGTCTTTTCCCCAAGTAGAATACAACCCACCTACCTTTGGACTCTATTTTTATTATAGGGTTTTCAGAGGTTTGTTATTTAAGAAGTGGATGGCCAAGCCTACTTCCTAGGCTGTCTTAATCTGGAAGCTCTATTAAAACCTGCTCACCATAAGTAACCCTTATGGCATATGACATACCAGTGGTACAGTTTTCAGTATCACAGCAACCCACAAGTTATCTCTGTACAGCAAACTGACTGACAAATGCTGTACCAATTAATCTTATTTGGATCCACAATCAACACCCTTGGTACCAAAAGCCAGGAAATAAAAATATGCACTGCACTGGAAAAGCCTGCAGTTAGAAACTTCTCCAAATTATTGAAGAGTAATGATGTCAGTTTGAGGACTAAGGTACATCTGATACAGGACGAGGTCTTTGCAATCACTTGCTATGCATCTGAGAGCTAAACAATGAATATGGATGACAGAAGAATTGATATTTTTAAGCAGTGGTGTTAGAGCACTAAACATTCTGTAGACTGCCAAAACAACAAACAAATATGTCTTGGAGAGGGTGAAGCCAGAGTGCTCTTTGGAGGCAAGGATGATGAGGCTATGCCACACATACTTGGGGCATGTTACAATGTGAGGTTATTCTTTGGAGAGGAACATGATGCTTGGAAGGGTGAAGGAGAGTCGGCAAAGGAGAGGAAGACTCTAAACCAGGTAGATTGACATGGTGACTGTCACAATGGGCTTCAGTGTGTCAGTAAGTGTGAAGATGGCACAGGATAGGACAGAGGTTCAAATCTGCTGTTCATAGAGTCTCTAAGATTAGTACTTGACTTGACAGCACCTAACAACAACAACCACCTTTGGACTGGCAGCATAATCTCCTTAACCAAGTCACCAGAACTCCCTAGATGGCAGCTAAGGAGAATTTTATCCATGCCCCATGAATGTTCCTAAACCTTCTGACTATGGGCCTGAAGGGGAGCCAGTGGGTAGCAGAAGCTTCACTCCCCCTCACAGGGACCAGAGATGAGATTCCACCCGGAGGGAACCAGACTCCTGGCTACAGTGCACTGGGCCTCATCTACCTGCGGCTTGTGAGCTGTGGGACAAATCCCTTCTGCAAAATGGAGATGACACTGACATTGGAAGGGCGTGGTAGGTAGGGTCGCCAGATGTAGCAAATATATACACTGGGTATTCTATTAAATTTTCATTTCAGATAAGCAAGAAATCATATTTTAGTATAAGACTATCTCAACTATTGTGTGGCCCAAACTTATAGTAAGATGATTTATTGTCCATATGGAATTCAAATTCACTGAGGTTGATCTTGCAGCCTGAGCTGTAAGGATCCCTGATAATGCACCAGTTAAGCACTTGGCTACTAAAGGAGAAACTGGTGGTCTGAACCCATATAGAAGCTCCTTGGGAGAAAAACCTGACCCTCTACTCAAGAAAAGTTACAGCTCAGAAAACTCCCTGGGGCAGCTGTGCTCTGTCTCATGGGGTCACTGCAAGGAGAAATCAGGACAGTGGGAGGCCCCGGCCCTGGCCTCCTGCCACCTCTGGCACACTCTAGCTTACCTTTGCAGAACTCGCCACTGCCAAGCAGCAGCTGATGCCGAAGACCACCAGCTCCAGGCGCCCCATGGTGCGTGCCTGCCTCTGGGTGACCCTCCTGCTGGACCTGTGGCTATTTATGGAGTTGGAGCCAGCTGGCTACCTGGGTTGGCAACTCCTTATGGAAAGTTCCTTTCCCCCCTTCCACTTCCACCCCTCCCTGCAGGCTGGCTATACTTCAACCTATGTCCCTGGAGTGAAGAGACAGCTGTTGTTCCCAGGGGACTAAGACCGGGCCAAGGTTGTGCACACACATGTGCATACATGGGCACAGGAAGGCTCTTTCCCAGTGCCAGCTGCTCACAAGTGCTCCTGTGCCAGTTGTGTACCTTCACAGTTTGCTGTCTACCTAGGAGCAGAGACAGATGGCACAGGATATCATCTTGAATCATTATTCAACTTTCTGATGCATAGGAAGCAATTGAAAAGACCACAATTTGGGTCAGGTGCCCCTTAGTCTTTAAACTGTTGACTGGCTTACGAGAGTTGGAAACAAAGAAGGACTAGTGCTTGGAAAATATGGCCTTGGTGGTAGAAGTGAAGCTGAAAATAGAACTTTGTACAATCAGTGATTTATTTGTTGCAAATACTTCGGGGGCAGGGAGAGGTCTTCTTTCTTTCTTTCTTTCTTTCTTTCTTTCTTTCTTTCTTTCTTTCTTTCTTTCTTTCTTTCTTTCTTTCTTCTTCTTCTTCTTCTT